AAGAATAAGACCTCGTGAAGTGTGACACATGCTCGTGGAATGGACTGACAGAGTCTTCACCTAAATTTATTTATTCGCAAAGAGGGAAAGAAAAAATATTGATAAAACCCCTAAAAAGAACGATAATGATATGGTCATTGCAACCAAGTCAGGGTTCGGGAGTCGATTACGCAAGAGGGAGGTATTAACACTTGTCACGCCTGTTGTACTCAACGGGAATTGTTTAGTTAGTTGTGCGCATTAGTGTTAGCTTAAAATGTTTGGCTTCTAGAGTTATTAGAAAGAAAAATAATAAAATAAAATGTTTTATCTTTTATTAAGGTGCCTGGCGAGACTTTGGATCTCGCTCTTAAGTATTTCCATGTGCATTGGAGAACTCAAGGCTACGTAGTTTTGGGTAAAAAATATTTGTTTGAGGAGCGGGCGTTTGCATCACATCAAATGAATTTCTACATATGAACATTCATGAGAAAACGTCACTTATCTCAACTCACACATATATGGGCGAAACTTTATTTTGCATCGTCTTGAGATGAAATATCTTTCGCTTGTGAAAAAGGATTGAAGGTTGAGCCAAAAGGTAAAATGGTTTGAATGTGCTTGATGTACTTTTGGGTGATGACAAAAGTTCGGATGGGCGAGGTATACAACTCGGATCCTAACCTCGAGAGTTCGTGGTACACACCATGTTCCTTTTCATCTTATTTGCAAAAGGGTTTGATATTTTTATGGGGAGACGAGGTATACATCTCATATCTTAACCTCAAGAGCTTGTAGTATACACCACGTTCCTTTTTCATCTTTATTTGCAAAAAGGTGTTTAATAATGATTAAGTTTTTTTGGATTTTCATTTGGAAAAAGAAGGTTGACGTTGGAACATGCGTTTGATTTGCGTTGCAAGATGGTTCGACAAAATGGTTTGAAATGGTTTTGAAATTACTTTTGAAGTTATGTTGAATCGATGGTGAAAATGGTTGAAGGATGAATGAGAGGTAAGAATCATAACACAAAGGTACAAATTGGATCGCGAGGGACGCAAATTCAAGTGTAGTGATGCGAACTCTAGCAAAAGGTGTAATCAAACACCATAAGTAAACCGAATCGGATATATACAAACATTAAACAAGATAAAGGGATACACGAGCATACACGATATTTACATCATACATCCATCATAAGTGAATCTAAAAAAGTAAAGCGAAAAGAAACGTTCATGGATTAAAATCATGACTCAAATACGCGAATCAATGTCGCGTATGCGAAGACGTGCTAAGCTACCACAAGTAGGACTCAAATTCGATTTAAGTGTAACGAAATTGGATTGTTGTATCTTGATACAAATAAAATTGAGAATTGCTAACGCAAGCACGATCATCGTGAATCAAATCGAGAAGCAACAAAATAAATCGTGGAAGCAAAAGTTACAAGTTGAAACGCGAATCAGTGAGGAGAAACGCGATACGGTGTGGAACTGAGATGGTTGAAGTCATACTTGTTTATCTAGACAAGATGGTGAATCGTGGTAATTCGTAAATATTTGGTGTTTGGTCGAACATGGTACATATAAATACTTTGATGTTCAAGTCAATGATTTATTTGAGGCAAAAGGATATATTTTACATTAAAAGAATATGTACCTTGATTTGATGCGTGTCTCCCTTTTTATAGGTGGGTTCTAGGCTTTCTTGAGGGTCTAAAACCTTCTTGTGTGGAAAGTTATCAAGATAGACAAATGTCAAGGTTTTATTCGTCTCGCAATCTAATTGTCTTGTTTAAATCACCCACCTTGATTAGTTGTTTATTTATAGCAGAACTTAATATGCTCCCGAGTCTCTATGTCCACTTTTTAAGAATGCATTATTCTTTAATTTTGTTGATCTCGTGATCTCGATTTAACAACAACTAAGGTTATGGGCCGAAACGGGCTTCCTTTTTTACATGGGTCTATACTCTTAGGGTCCGTTTGATTGGGGGTTTTAGAGGGGAGGGGATGGGAGGAAATATTTTAAATTAAGTATGATTGGTTTAATTTTTTATGAGGGGAGAGGATGGAGGGGATGAGAGAGAATATTTTAAATTAAATATGTTTGGCTTATTTTTTATGAGAGAAATGGAGGTAATCTGAATCCCTTTTGGAGTAATTTTTCGTTCTCCCGAATTGGAGGTTTCTAGAAGAGAGGAGAGAGAGTAGTTATAATAAAATATATTTTTATTAAATTGATATAATTGTCCTCATTTTTGTTATAATCGTAATTTATCTATGTTAGTTTTTCAGCTTATTATATTTTCTCCATATTTTTTTAACGATAATTCCATTAATTTTATTATTATTAATTAACTTTCGTTTTATTTTATTTACCGTTATTTATTATTTTGTTTATAATAACTTAATTTATTTTGTAAGTTGATGTGTTGTAATACATATCGATATATAATTATAATATACACGTTATATATTATCTAGAATTTAATTTCTTAAATACTTTATAGGATTAGATGGATCATCAAATGATAAAAAAGTTCATCTGAAAATTAATCATATATAATGATTCTCACATATATCAATATTTTATTTACACTTTAATATATTTCAGAGTATTTAAAATATTACATATTTTATGTTTGATTATCTATGTTTTTTATGAATTGACAATTTTTTTTTTGTAAATAGCATTTTGTTTTTATTTTATTTAACAAGAGTGTTATACTATTTTAAAGATAATCAGCGGGAGGTGGCACATGTGCATCTCGACGCACCTGTTCCACCTCCCGCTGATGATCCTGTTAATCTAGTACCACCTTTGGAGAGTGAGATTACTAAGGATGTCAGGCTAGAGGGATTCAAAGGAGATCCATCTGATATGTCCCTACTTCCTCTGTATCCATACCACGCTACCAGACATATCTGGAACAGAGAGATTGCATTAGTATGATTATTATTGACATTGATTATTTCTGAAAAATCCCAAGTACGTGATCCCCAGAAGTTTCTGAACCATGAGAGGAAGATTTTAGCATTGCATTAGTCGGAGGACCAGAGGTGCTCATGTTAGGTTTGAGTTCCTGAAGAATATATATGATGCTGAGATCGCTGTTTCATAGCAGGCTGATGGTGATGCCGAGTAGGTGACCTTACACATGACTCATGCTTTGAGGGCATATTTTCATTATTTGGTTAACACTTGTATTTTTGTGGACACGAGTGCCAACTATATTGACGTTGCATACCTCTGTCACTTCTTGAATCTCATACGGACCTATGAGTAAAACTGGAGGCGGCTTTCCTGGTCTATCTATATTCGAGGTTGAGAGATGTATGTCGATGGAGGACAGAGCATGTCGCAGGCAGCATAATACTACAGGTGGTAATGATTTTTTATCCTTGAATATTTTATTATCTTTTTCATTTCATATTTGCGATAATTATTTATCCCTGAATGCTTTTTATTTTCATTTCAGTCTTAGATCCTCCAGCACTTCTCGCACATCGTTGGTTACGCCTGTTGGGATGAGTACACCGAGAAGATGCCTCGTGCTTGTGCTTTTATCAGGTTGAGAGGGAATTAGGCGGTCGAGCCTTTCAGAGTCTATCTTGATCGCTTGACTGTCGAGGACATCTACTTCAACTGATACGTGGATCACTGTTAGACGTGTCCATTTGAAGACATATCTCTATATCCGGATGACTGGCCTGCAGATCACATATCACTTATCTTCATCTACCCGAGCGTGTCATGCGGCAGTTCGGGTACGCCCGACCATCCCCTGACATCATGTTGTCTCTGCTCCTCGAGCCTTGACTCGTATACATATAAATCATATGTTTGTTGATTATCAAAGTTATCTGGTATTGGATGAGGTTCGGGCTACCATAACGTCGAATGACTGGAGTTACATGAACGGGTACATTAGGTGATTCTTCACAGTCTCACATCTATACTTGGTACCGACTGCTCTGGGAGATCCTCTGAGACCAGGCCATCAGGAGATTCTAGAGGGCCAGCAAGCTTACCTAGATCATACTGAGGATGTCTTGCCTAAGTGTCGTCGCAAAATAGAGATTGCACGGGCAAGCATTGACGAGAATATCTTCCCTAAGGGGTCTGTTGTGAGACGAGTACTGTATGCCATTATTGCAACGACACAGAGGACATTATTATATCGCTGACATCACGCAAGGATTGGGGAGATCGATGGTTGAGGAGGCAAACCAAGCACAGGAGGTAGCGGAGAGGTGTAGTACTATAATTTAGTTCCTACATCTTGAATTTGGTGTTGTACAACATTTTACTATTATAGTGCTATATTATTTTGTATGTCTATTATTTTATTCAATATCGTTCTTCATAATTCATCTGAAAACAAATACACAACTCGTTATAAAAAAAACTTGTTCTGATACACTTCGGAGATGTATCTCTAAAATATTCTTATAGATACATCTCCAAATATATTTATAAAAAAAAAGAGCTTTGAGAGATATGTTATATGCGTTTAAGGTTTAATTGGTTATGGAGATATATCTACGAAATATGTTAACGTTTACTTAAATGTGAGATGCATCCGAAGATATATTTTCGAAACCTGCGACCATTACGAGAATTCCACGTGGTGAGTGAGAAATGTATAGGGTGGAAAAAGAAATTCTCTATGATTTATATGTCCACAGAAATGGATGATATGAGGTTTGTGGACCGTACTTTTGTTGTTTCACATTCACACACCGTGCAACTTATGCATATTAAACCCTAAGTAAAACCAAAAAAGCTTGAGGTGCTATACATAATTGACCGAGCAAGCCACGTATACAAACACCTGAACGTTGGTTTGCAGCCACACTAAAGATTAAGTTAACACAAGGGCTCCACATATTTTGGTTGAGTTCTGCCTTTGCGGTTTCAGAGCCTGCTCTAATCACCATAAGTTGGTTGGCTAGTTTTAACTCGATTGCATTGATGCCATTATGAAATTGATATATTCATCCCAGAAAAACTTGTCATCATGGTTCAACTTCAACTGACTGTTGAGTTGTCTTTGATTCAACTTCAACTGACAGCTCAATTGGCTCTGATTCAACTTCAACTGACAGCTCAGTTGGCTCTGATTCAACTTGAACTGACTGCTCAATTGGCTCTGGTTCTACTTCATCTGACAGTTCAATTGGCTCTGATTCAACTCCATCCGCAAGGGCATACACCACTGCCGTTCTACAAGGTGCATAAACAAGGAAAGATCGAGGCCGGTCATCATACCACCCTTCCTGTAAAATCATCCAAGGGAATTCGAAGAGTCTGTTAATCTAATTGGTAGAAAGACAAAATGGTAAAACTCTGACCACAAGAATGCAAGGGGGAAAAAGATAAAGCAAAACAGAAACACAAACATTTTATAACACAACAATACGCTTGATCATTTTCACACACAAACAAGTTTAAGAAAGTCCCTTACAGAGGTGAAGTACTCAGCAGTATGATTGAGCCTATTGAAGCCACCAAATAAGGTATCATCTGAATCCAAGACAATCTGAAAAAAGGAAAAGCACTTCCACCAATAAAAAGTTATGCTCTCTAAAGCAAATGAATTTAATAATGATATGCATCCAAAATTAAGAAAGATTAAAATTGGTTCCAATGAGGCTTTTGTATTTAAGAATTTGATATTACTTCATCCAAATGTGGCGCTTTCCTGGATTGGGGTCTGGCTTAGGAGAGACTAACCAGACATGTGATGAAATGGATGTTTCTTAGGATAAAATAACATATCTTAGCTTTGATATTGTTATAAAGGACTTTTCTTGTTACAACTTTAGTCTTGCCAGACTAATAATTGATAGGTATTACCTTATATTTCCCTGGCTTTAAACAGCCAACCTTGTAATCTGAATAACTGTTGGTCCAGTGAAAATTGAAGACAAAGACCAGGTTGTCTCTTTCGAAGATTATAACTCTGTCACCTTCATTTTTACGTGAAATATATTGGTGCTCAGAAGTCATGAACTGCAACAAAGGTAGATACCGTTAATTTTCCTGAACTACTTAGATATTAAAAACCAAAAAAAAAAATTATTAACTGTTCACCCATTAGTGATAACAATTCTAGGTTAGATACTATAAGTGCTCTTAATTAAAAAAAATTAATATAGGTTGCATAACACTGTAGGTAGAGTTTGTTTTGAAATAAGAAGAAATCAAGTCTGCTTTCACACAAGTGTTTAACTTTTATTCAAAACCAACTTCCCACAAGTTATCTCAAAATCCAATGATGTGCAACAAACATCATACCAAAGAAATTTTCCAGGTATTTCGTTGGCAAATAAAGTAGATGACAAAAATTGAAATCTTACACCATATCTCTCTTCTAAATGCTGCATAGCTCGATCAAATTCTTGCATTCCATTATATCTTAGATAATCTGCATCACCCTGATTAAGCAACACAGAAGATGACTTTTGTAATTATTGAATGAGAAAAAATGAGAGACATATGATAAAACTATGTTTGAAGTTTCAACTACACCACGGAATTTTCAATGCTCAGTATACGATCTACAAGACTACAACATTAAATACAATAGAACATGTTATTACTATATTTACATGATATACTACTCCCTCCGTCCCACAATGAGTGATCCAGTTGACTTTTCACACAAATTAAGAAAAAAGGAATAAATAAAAGAGAGAGAATAATATTTTTATTAAAGTACCCTTATGATGTATTGAAAATGATGAAAGTAATATTAATTAGAGGGTAAAGTAGGAAAACTTGCATTGGAAATTGAAATGGGTCATACATTTTGGGACACAATTTTATTCCAAATGGATCGTTCATTGTGGGACGGAGGGAGTAATAAATTTAAACATCAAGAGTTCCCTTCAAGTTGGAGCATATAAACCAGTGCGCCAAGCTTGCTACATATATAGTAATTCTAGGACCTCGCATGGACATTGTAATGATGTGGGCCAATTGATTATTGAAATTGACAAAGTTTGTGGCCGTGTTGCTTGATTCGGTCATCTCTTTGACAAAATAGCAGTCTATTTCAACAAACGGAATATATAGTAATTATACAAGTTGTGAATGGAGGAACCAGAACCTTACCAAGTCAAATCTACGCCTGCATTTATCATAACTGTTGTTATTCCCAGGAACTATTTTGCCATTAGGAAGATGTTGCTCACCCCTTGGAAAATCGATCCACTCTGAACAGAACAGCAATAAACTATCAAACTTAAGGTATCATTGATTTGGTAACACCAAATCCAGGAACTTCTCAAAAAAAAAAAAAGTCAAATATGTTTACCAGGATGTCCAAATTCATTCCCCATAAAATTCAAATACCCTTCACCACCAAGGCCCATAGTAATAAGCCTAATCATTTTGTGTAATGCTATACCACGATCTATTAGAGGAGTAGATGGCCTATCTAAAGCCATGAAGTCATACATATCCTGAAGCAGTTAGCAGAGCACAAGTAAAATCTAAATGTCCAATGACAAATTACAGCAATTCCCATTTATTAAGCAAAAGCAAACATCCTTAATGATTTGATCATTTGACAGAAGCTAAGTAAGAACCTAATGAATTCAAGAAACGGCGACGGATTCCTAAGTTGCAATAACACTAATCGGTCCATGAACATTTATAATAGTCAAGAAAATTTGATGTATATGCTACTAAAAATAACTTTACTGAGCAGGCAATTTCAAATGGAGAAACTCAACTCCCAAACTCTTCAGTAAAAAAAGAGATAGCTTTGATCCAAAATAAGTTCTTCTAGCATAATTGAGAAACACTATACTCCCTCCGTTTTATAATATAAGTCATTTTTGCGTATTAAGAAATATGATCATTGTTGTATGGAAAAGAGAGATTATAAAGAATTTTACAAAATTGTCTTTCATTCATTACATGGGAATGATAAATTTAAAGAATTGGAAGAATTGTTAAGGGTATACAAGAGCGACGCACCTTGTCCATCAACCAAAATGCTAGTGTCTTGTCACCAACCAAGGCCTGGTCATGACTTTCAGCATAAACCACACATTTTTCCAGCCACCTTCTGTTTGTCAGTGTGTGGACTATATCACCCATTCTCCAATCTTCATCTTGTTTCCTACATGAAAAACAATATGGCGGAAATTTAACAGGATTTTTTTACACTGCTAGCAAACCATAAGAATGAATGACAATGGTTTATGTTGGAGAAATTACAGCAAGAGGTTTGAAACGTATTAAATTTAGAAGAAATAATATTCTTATTATATTTCTTATGAGGTCACAGGACCTATATATATATACATGAGCCTGCAGTCTATTTTAGGAAATATGGACAGCTAGTTCTAAGGAAACAAATCCTTGTGATTATGGGATTGATCCTAAATAAATAAACCTAATAATTAGCAAGATACAACTGCTACATTACAGAATTACTACAAATATAATCCTTCCTAAAATACACAAAACCAATCACTGTTTTGACACTCCCCCTCAAGCTGGTGAATAGGTGTTTTCCATTCCAAGCTTGGATATAATTTTTTCAAAGTTAATGCAGTTCAGCCCCTTGTTGAGTATGTCTGCAAGTTGATTCTGAGTGGATACATATGGTGTGCAAATCATGCCACTGTCTAGTTTTTCCTTGATAAAGTGTCTGTCAACCTCGATATGTTTAGTTCTATCATGCTGCACCGGGTTGTGGGCTATACTAATTGCAGACTTGTTGTCACAATATAACCTCATAGGTTCATCCCATCTTATCTTCAAGTCTTCCAATATAATCTTCAGCCATAGAAGTTCACATATTCCTTGGGCCATTGCCCGAAATTCTGCTTCGGCACTCGATCTAGCCACTACACTCTGTTTTTTGCTCTTCCAAGTCACGAGGTTTCCACCAAGGAAGGTGCAATATCCAGTAGTTGACCTCCTATCTACCACTGACCCCGCATAGTCTGCATCTGTATATGCTTCAAGACTTATACTCTTGTTTCGTTTGAACAAAATCCCTCTTCCTGGGGTCCCTTTCAAATACTGGACAATTCTAAGGGTAGCTTGTAAAATGTGCTTCTTTTGGTTGGTGCATAAACTGGCTGACTAGACTTACAGCAAAAGCAATGTCTGGTCTAGTGTGAGATAAGTAAATAAGTCTGCCCACAAGCCTTTGATACATTTCCTTGTCCACGACAATATCCTCCTCCGCACTTCCCAACTTTATATTTGGGTCCACTGGGGTACTTGCTGGTCTGCAGGCTGTCTTACCTGTTTCTTTAAGCAAGTCAGTAATATACTTTTGTTGAGATATGAAGATTTCTTTCTTGGAATGGTCCACTTCAATTCCCAAAAAATATTTAAGTCTCCCTAATGTCTTGATCTCGAATTCAGTGGCAAGGCATTCACTTAACACTTGCTGCTCCTTTTTGTCATCCCCACTTACTATAATATCATCTACATACACCAATAAAATTGTTACCCCCCTGAAACTGAATGTTTGATAAATAATGTGTGATCCCCTTGGCTCTGTTTGTAGCCCAGACCTGTCATAACTTTGGTGAATCTTCCAAACCACGCTCTTGGGAATTGTTTCAGCCCATATAAAGCCTTTCTTAACTTACAAACAGTTCCAGCAGCAACCTGTCCATTGTAACCAGGTGGCAACTCCATGTATATTTCTTCTTCAAGGTCTCCATGTAAAAAAGCATTTTTCACATCAAATTGCTGCAGGTCCCAATCATGATTTGCTGCTAATGACAATATTACTCTGACCGTGTTCATCTTAGCAACCGGGGAAAAGGTCTCCAAGTAATCAATTCCATAGGTTTGAGTGAAGCCTTTGACCACTAATCTTTCCTTATAACGTTCAATGGTCCCATCAGCCCTGTACTTTACTGTATATACCCACTTGCATCCTACTGGTTTTTTTCCAATTGGTAGGGTGACAAGTTCCCAGATCCTATTCTTGCTTAACGCCTCCATTTCCACATCCATGGCTTGCTTCCATTTCCTGTCAGATAATGCTTCAGATACAGAGGAAGGTGTGTGTGTGGAGTTGAGGTTTGTGAGGAAGGTTGTATGGGTAGGTGAGAATTTTTCAAAGGATAAGAAATTTGACAGTGGGTAAAGTGGTTGTTGGGTGCATGTTCTAGTTCCCTTTCTAAGGGCAATGGGTAGGTCTAAATTTTGGTCCACATGTGCTTCTAAATTTTCAGAAACAAACTCATTAGAATCATTAGAGTTTATAGGATTCGAAAGTGTTACCTCATGCAGTGATGATGGGCTGGAATCTTGGACATTGCCAGACTCTAGAATGGCCTTTTCTCTCCTTGAATATACCAGATTTTCCCCAAATCTTCCACCATTAAGTGCCGGTTCAGGTGCAGGTCTTGCTGTCGGTTCAGGTTCAGGTTCAGGTGTAGGTGTAGGTCCTACCGTTGTTTCAAGTGCAGGTCCTGCTGTTGTTTCAAGTACAGGTTATGCTCTTCTCTCAATTTCAGGGACAACAATGCCATTTGTCCCAATTTCAGGTCCAAATGTCATATTTGGAGGCATGAGAGTCTCATCTTCCTCTCTTACATTCTCCCCCTGAAGATGAGGCTGCTTGAAGTAACTCTCTTGTTCGTTGAAGGTCACATCTCTCGACACATAGAATTTTTTTGTTAGAGGGTGAAAACATTTGTATCCCTTTTATGTGGTAGAGTGCCCTAAGAATACTCATTTGACAGCCCTAGGGTCTAATTTTCTCCTTTCATAACTATGAACATGCACAAAGGATACACACCCAAATATTCTAGGTTGGAGTTTATTTGTAGGATCCAAGTGTGGGTAGAATGAGGATAGGACTTCCATGGGGCTTTTAGTGTCTAAGATTTTAGTGGGTAACCTATTGATTAGATAGGTGGGAGTAAAAAGGGCTTCCCCCCAAAATCTCTTAGGGACATGGTTTTGAAAAAGTAGAGCTCTAGTTTGATTTAATAAGTGCCCATTTTTCCTTTCTACAATCCCATTCTATTGGGGTGTGTTCACACATGAGGACTCATGGATTATTCCTCCCTTTTGGCAAAAAGAGTTTAGTACAAGGTTAAAATAGTCCTTGGCATTTTCAGACCTAATTCTTTTGATACCGACCCCAAATTGATTTTTAATCATGGAGACAAATTGAAAAAACACAGAGCTAACTTCAGATTTTTGTTTTAATAGAAAAACCCAAGTCACCCGGGTACAATGATCTATGAAGGTTAAAAACCATTTAGCACCTGAGATATTAGGAACGTAAGCAGGACCCCATACATCAATGTGAACAAGAAAAAAAGGGAAAGGACTCATCTTATTACTAATGGAAAAAGGTACACGCTTGTGTTTAGCAAGCTCACACACATCACAGTGGAGACTTTCCACATTTAAATTTTTAAACAAGGGAAAAGCACTTTTACAACTCGAAATGAAGGGTGTCCTAGCCGGCAATGGTATAGTTGCAATTTCTCTTTGTTGGTCAGGATGGATTTAGATATGAGAGAGCAGCTCCTGGTAGGCAGATTAGGATCCTCCATGTAGTATAGGCCATTCCATTCTCTAGCATGTCCAATCGTCCTCCCCGAGTTCTTGTCCTGCAGTATACAAGAGTTGTTATGAAAAACAACATTACATGAGAGATCTTTTGTGAGTTTTTGTATAGAAATCAGATTGGTGGACAATTTAGGGACATGAAGGACATTTCTTAATGTTATGGATGGGTTTATTTGGACCTCTCCTTGTCCTGCTGCAGTCATAAGGGTTCCATCTGCTGTGGAAAGGGTTCCATCTGCTGTGGAAATTTTCTTGTTGCTAGGACATGGGGAATATGTGGAGAAATATTTGGGTAGAGGGGTCATATGGTCAGTGGCTCCAGAGTCTAATATCTAGTAATGTGTAAATGGTGTATCTGAAACATTAAGCCCAAAAGAAAGTGGAAACTTACCAGAATATGTTAAGGAGCACGTACCTGTGGGCTTCTCCAATTTACTAAGGAATGATCTTACCCGTTCTATCTCTTCATGATTCAGCTGGCCAGATCCTTCACTTTGTCCATGACTGATGTGTGCTTGCCCTTGTCCTCCCCTTTTTGGAGCGCCTCCTTTCGGCCCCCATTCTCGGCTTGGGGGTTTCCCATGTAATTTCCAGCACTTCTCCCTTGTGTGACGCGGCTTGTTACAGTGGGTACACCAGATATCCTCATGTTTTTTCTCCATATTGGGAACCCCGCTTCTCCGTTGGTTAGCAACCATGATTGTTCCTCCTTCAGCTATCATTGCAGAACTTTCAGTTATTGAGGTCTCCAGCATCAGTCCTCTCCTGCTTTCTTCACTCCGGATAATGGCTACCACTTCATTAAGCCCTGGGACTTTCTCTTTTCCCAGGATTTGGATTCGGACCTGGTCATATTCAGGATTTAAACCTACCAAAAAATCATAGACTCTATCTTGTTCAATATACTCCTTAAGGATTGCTGAGTCTTCTGAACATTTTGCTTTTATAACTCGATAGTGGTCCAATTCCATCCATAGAGACTTGAGTTGATTAGCATATTCTGTAACAGATTTGTTTCCCTGTTTGGCAGCCACGGTTTTCACCTTTACATCATAAATTTGAGCAGCATCCTTGGCCTTAGAATAAGTTTGTTCTACTGCCTCCCAAATTTCCTTTGATGATTTAAGGAACATGCAGGTATCACTAATTTCTGGGACCATTGAATTCCACAGCCACGCCATGATCATGGAGTCTTTTTCATCCCATGATTTGAACTTGGGATCTGTTTCAGCAGGTGGACTATCAATCGGGTGACTGACCTCTCCTTTTCCTTTCAAGATGGTCTTAATGAGTTGAGACCATTTGAGATAATTCTTCCCATTTAACCGATAAGCAGAATGAACATTCTGCAACTCTCCAGCAGTTTGGGGTCTGCCCCCAGTTTTCAGAATAGGATCCACGATCTCAGCCATGACCAGCTGCGATCAAGGTAGAGAGGGCTGCGCCGCAATGAAAGCTGCGACAAGGTTTAAAGGTAGCGCAGCAATGAAGGCTGCAACTTAGGGTTTATAGGCACGGTCAGAGACTCCCAAGGATCGGGAGCTTTGATACCATATTAAATTTAGAAGAAATAATATTCTTATTATATTTCTTATAAGGTCACAGGACCTATATATATATATATATACATGAGCCTGCAGTCTATTTTAGGAAATATGGACAGCTAGTTCTAAGGAAACAAATCCTTGTGATTATGGGATTGATTCTAAATAAATAAACCTAATAATTAGCAAGATACAACTGTTACATTACAGAATTACTACAAATATAATCCTTCCTAAAATACACAAAACCAATCACTGTTTTGACAAAACGATATAGGATTTGATTTGAACAATAATTTGGAACAAAAAGACATGATTAGATGTAGGCTTCAATTGACAGTTTTTGACAATTGCAATGTTGAGTTACAGAAGATGTTGTATCTCTCTGAAGTCAAAGAATTAGGTAACAACCTACCGGGTTCTGTACGTTGAAGGAATACTAACATGCACTAAATTCAAACCGAATTATTCTTCAGTTACAATTGGACCCAACCTTAAATTTTGGAGGTTATATTATTTTAAAATACTCACCATTAAGCATCTCTTTTAAACTAGCATCTGATCCCCAACTTCTTAACAATAACACATTTTTATGCGTGCTAGCAACTTGTGAAACAACTCATGCCATATCTGATTGGCTTATACTAATGAACATACATACCTTTTTTGGGCTCATTAACACAGATTAGAAAGACATTAGTGATTTATATCTATTTATGATTTATCTAATATTCTAAATTTGATGCAGATTGATAAGAAGGAATACTTAACTGGTTTAGTTTTCTGATATTTTCAATGCAACAAATTATGCAAAAAGGTTGAATATCATAAGACACCAAAAGCGAATTTAATATTTGTAACCTAAAGATGATAATAAAAAACCCTAAAAAAACTGCAAGTCTAACAAAAAAAAACATAATTCTAATAAATCATGATAACATTAAAAAAAACTAGATAAATCCTAATAGAAAAATCTAATGTGTTTCTATTCTGCATCACTCATTCACATTGGTCTTAACCTAAAAGTTATCTGTAACCCAATAGCAATAAAGCATTGAATACATACAAGCCCATTTAGAGTCTTTCCTTTGGGTCATTTAAAAAAAATTATTTCTATCGTTTTGTTGCATGTTCATTCCAGGAACATGTTTCTATCCAAAAAGTTAATTTTAAGATCTTTTTTAATAACTTCTCTTATAGTTTTTCTAGGTCTCCTCTACCTCTAGTTGTTAGACTTCTCTCCATCTGATCTAGTCTCCTTACTACAGAATCTACAAGACTTCTCTCTACATGCTCAAACCACCTAAGTCTATTTTCCAGCATCTTTTCTACTATAGGTGTTATCCCAACATTCTCTCTAATGTTGTCATTTCTAATTTTATTTTGTCTAGTCTTACCACACATCAACACAAATGTGTTATATTATTGTAATCTAGCCATCCACAAACAGGATTATTTGAAAGAAAGCATAATATACTGTATTTGCACTCCAGAATAAGAGTAAAAGATTACTTAAGAAGCTCAATCCACTTGTCTGCAACAGCCATATGCAAGCGGTAGTTAAAGCCAATCCCACCATCTTGCGTCGGAAGGCAGAATGTTGGCATTCCACTCACCTGGAAATGGAAAGAAAATTGTAACATTGACTGCCAGTTTTAATTGACTTAATTTGATGCTGTTCAAACACCATATTATCTTTTGTACTTTACAGCAGTTACTTAGCCCTCTAGAAATTTAAGGAGAGACAATAAAATTTATGAGAGCACAATTACTCAACTCCTAATACAACTTAAATGAAATATAACTGAATTAGCATAAAACTCAAGAGGAGGGCATACATCTTCACCAATTGAAACAGCTTCAGGGAAGAGCCCATGAATGAGGTCATTAACAAGCATCATGTAAACCACAGCCTCAACATCAGTTGCTAAACCAAAATACTCACTGAAATTTCCAGTAAAAGATACCTGCAGAAAGATTCAATATTCCTTTTAAGGAAAAAAAATAAACAATTGAGAACGGAAAGAATCCTATATTTGGTTAACATGAGAACCCTTTTCTTCAAAGGATAATCACAACTATAATATATTTTTGACATTGTTTCCTTTCCGTCTCTTTCTTTATCTACTTCTTTTAGTCCTTTCCTATCTCATTATCTGTGTTGAGGTATCTATCTGAATCAGAGTTAGCATTGTTGTAAATAAGGGGCCTTGATAATTTTCTACAGTAAACTGGATTTAGATTATATTTGTTGAATATTAGCACAAAATCAAAACAGATTCTGTCATACAGCTCATTATGGCTGGATTCAAATTGTGATTAAATAGAAATTAATTGTATTATTATATTCTTACCTTATTTAGGATTAGCATTTATAGGGAGAATAATTACCCCTATTTCTTAGTGTAATTTATATTCTATAAATACTCATGTACTATGTTACAGAATAAAAGAAATAGAAAAAGCATATTTCTATATGGTATCAGAGCAACAAGAATCCTTTAGGGTTTTTTTTTTTTGTTTTTGCTTCCGCTCTGTTTATCTTTTTTACATCCCACAATGTCTGATACCGAGTCCTCACTTTCACCCAAACATTCCTCACCCGAACCTAAATTAGTCCGAACGTACCATGAAAACCACCCTGTTCAGATCACAACAATTCGGCTGAACGGTGCTAATTATCTTCGATGGTCGCAATCCGTTCGTATGTATCTCAGGGGGAGAGGAAAGATTGGCTACATTACTGGCGACAAAAAACAACCAGACAAGGCAGGTGCAGATTATGATACATGGGATGCTGAAAACTCCATGGTCATGACATGGTTAGTCAACTCCATGGATGAAGAGATAGGTGCAAATTATCTCTGTTATGATACTGCAAAAGAACTTTGGGAAGGTGTCTCCCAAATGTACTCTGATTTGGAAAATCAATCCCAAATCTACGAATTAACTCTCAAATTGGGAGAAATTCGGCAAGGTGAAGATTCAGTCACCAAATACTTCAATTGTCTCAAACGTATTTGGCAAGATTTGGACCTTTTCAATGAGTATGAGTGGAAATCACCTGCCGATAGCAAACATTACAAGAAGATGGTGGATGTTAGTCGTGTTTTCAAGTTCCTTGCGGGTCTAAATGTTGATTTTGATGAGGTTCGTGGCCGAATTCTAGGCAGAAATCCTATCCCTCCAATTGGTGAAGTCTTTTCAGAAGTACGTCGCGAAGAGAGTCGTCGGCAAGTGATGCTTGGCAAAAATACAGCAGCTGTCCCTCCACCAGTTGAAGGATCTGCCTTGGCAATTCCCCATGTCAATCGTAAACCACTTCATAATCAACGAGGTGGAGACAAGACTCATTTATTTTGTGATTACTGTGGGCGCAATCGCCACACTCGGGAAACTTGCTACAAACTACATGGGCGACCAAATCATGGCAAGGCTGGTAAGTTTGGTGATCGTCCTATGCCTATGGCCAATGAGGCTGATTCGTCTCCATGTACGAAGGAGCAAATGGATAACCTTCTTAAGTTTCTAAAGTCCAATTCATCTCTTAATATCCCTACTGGAACTGTGGCACAAACAGGTAAGGATTCTTGGGCACTATCTGCTCACAACCACTCTAACCCTTGGATAATAGATTCAGGGGCATCTGAACACATGACTAATTGCTCTCATCTATTCAGTACCTATTTTCCTAGTTCAGGTTTTGAAAAAGTTAGGATAGCTGATGGTAGTTATTCAAGTATTGCAGGCAAAGGCAGCATAAAAATTTCAGAGCAAATCACTTTGCAATCTGTTTTACATGTTCCTAAATTCGCTTGTAATCTTCTATCTGTTCATAAATTGTCTAAGGACACTAATTGTTTTGTTCTTTTTCGTCCCTCTACTTGTGTTTTTCAGGACCAGAACTCGGGGAAGACGATTGGAACTGCTAGAGAGATGAATGGATTGTACTACCTTGATGGAATTCAGTTTGGCAATAAAGCGTTTTTCGGTTCAAACAGTACAAACGCATCTCCTGTTTCAGATCAAATTATGTTATGGCATAAAAGATTAGGTCACCCTAGTTTTTCATATCTTAAGCATTTGTTTCCTATTTTTTCCAAAGAAATAAATTCCTCACAATTTCATTGTGAAGCTTGTCACTTAGCTAAAGATCATCGTGTGTCTTTTAAATCAAAAGCCTATTCTGCTTCTAAACCTTTTTATTTAATTCACAGTGATGTTTGGGGTCCTTCAAAAATTAAAACTATGTCTGGAAAAAAATGGTTTGTAACATTTATTGATGATCATACACGGCTGTGTTGGGTTTATCTCATGGAGAAAAAATCAGAAGTTGAACAAAGATTTCAAGATTTTTTTAACATGATTAACAATCAATTTCAAACTAAGATTGGCATTCTAAGGTCTGACAATGGCACTGAATATTTCAACAAATATTTAAGTACATTCCTTGTAACTAAGGGGATAATTCATCAATCCACTTGTCGCGATACTCCGCAGCAAAATGGTATTGCTGAAAGAAAAAATAGACATCTCCTCGAAGTCACTAGAGCTATTATGTTTTCTATGAATGTACCTAAGTATCTTTGGGGAAATGCTTTATTAACTGCTTGTCACCTCATCAATCGAATGCCATCTCGGGTGTTACAATATGAAAGTCCTGTACAAGTGTTACAAAACAATTTTCCTACATCTCGTATTATTACGGATCTTCCCCTTAAAATTTTTGGTTGTCTTTGTTATGTTTACATCCCCAATGTTTTTCGTTCTAAGTTGGATCCTAAAGCCGAAAAATGTGTTTTTCTTGGCTATGCTTCCAATAAAAAGGGATACAAATGTTTTAACCTAGTTACAAAGAAATTTTTTGAAAGCATGGATGTTCACTTTGTTGAAAATCAACCTTTTTTTAAAAATTCTCTTCAGGGGGAGAGTCAATGTAATAATAAAGAAGATAATTTTTGGGAAACTTTGCCTGCTCTAGATGATATTGTGACTACAAATCACCCAAATGCTAAGATAATAGAATCTGAAACAGGGGGAGAAACACTGATTAAGGATGATAATCCTGAACTTAAAGTGTATGTTCGAAAAAAATTCCACAAAGGTGGTGCAAACCCTATTGTCTCTCCAGTAGAAATCCAATCTGATTTACCAAGTGAAGGTCCTACAGATAATCTGTCTTCTAGTTCTTCATCTGGTAATCCTTCTTACTCATCCAATGATTTATCTGATTTGTCTTTTCCTGATATTAATCTTCCAATTTCTGTGAGAAAAAATATTCCTGACCTCGATGTCCCAATTGCTGAGAGGAAAGGTTCTCGTATGTGCACTAAACATCCTATGTCTAATTACTTGTCATATGACAAACTATCACACACCCATAAGGCATATGTGTCTAGGATTTCTAATTTGTTTGTGCCCAGAACTATTCAGGAAGCATTAAGTGATCCGAATTGGAAATTAGCAGTGAAAGAAGAGATGGATGCTCTAAACAAAAATAACACTTGGAGTATCACTGATCTACCACAAGATAAAAAGGCAGTAGGGTGTAAGTGGGTCTTTACAGTGAAATGCAAGGCTGATGGAAGTGTGGAAAGATACAAAGCGAGATTAGTAGCAAAAGGATTTACTCAAACTCATGGTATTGATTACCAAGAGACTTTTGCCCCAGTTGCTAAGATCAATTCTATCAGAATTCTTCTTTCTCTTGCAGTAAATTTCAACTGGACACTATATCAATATGATGTTAAAAATGCCTTCTTGAATGGTGAATTACATGAAGAAGTATATATGAGTTTACCTCCTGGATTTGAAAAAAATCTTGGAAGAAACAAAGTATGCAGATTGAGAAAATCCCTATATGGATTGAAACAATCGCCAAGGGCCTGGTTTGAGAGATTTGGAAGTGTTGTTAAGAGACACGGTTTCACCCAAAGTCAAGCAGATCACACTATGTTCTTTAAACACTCATCTGAAGGTAAGATTGCTATCTTAATAGTGTATGTTGATGACATTATTATTACAGGAGATGACGTCAAAGCAATTAGTGATCTGAAGAGAAGACTTGAGGCTGAGTTCGATATCAAGGATCTTGGAAAGTTAAAATACTTTCTTGGGATGGAGTTCGCAAGATCTAAAGAAGGTATTTTTCTCAACCAGCGCAAGTACATACTCGATTTACTTGCAGAAACAGGGATGACAGGGTCTAAAGCAGTAGAAACACCAATGGATCCCAATGTGAAACTAAAGTCAGTTGCTGAAGATGAAATAGTAGATAAAGAACGTTATCAACGATTGGCTGGAAGACTAATTTATTTGTCACATACAAGGCCAGATATAGCCTTTGCAGTGAGTGTAATAAGCCAATTTATGCATGCACCAGGTGCAGCCCACTTTGAAGCTATTTTCAGAATATTAAGATATTTGAAAGGTACTCCGGGAAAGGGGCTGATATTCAGAAATAGAGGACATATACAGGTTGAAGCCTATACAGATGCTGATTGGGCAGGTAATATAAATGATAGAAGGTCTACCTCAGGATATTGTACTTTTGTAGGTGGAAATCTAGTTACATGGAGGAGCAAAAAACAAAATGTTGTAGCCAGGAGCAGTGCAGAAGCTGAATTCCGATCTGTGGCCCATGGTTTTTGTGAAGTATTATGGATCAAAAAGTTCATGGAAGAATTGAAGTTCTTTGGCCCAACTCCAATTAAAGTTTACTGCGACAATAAGGCTGCTATTTCTATTGCCCATAATCCTGTCCTACATGACAGGACGAAGCATGTTGAAGTGGACAAGCATTTCATCAAAGAAAAAATTGACAGCGGTGAGATTTGTATGTCCTACATACCTACCAAAAGTCAAGTAGCAGATGTTCTCACAAAGAGTCTTCCAAAGAGACTGTTTGATAACATGGTGTGCAAGCTTGCTATGAACGATATATTCATGCCAGCTTGAGGGGGAGTGT